CTTCTTTGGGGGGCCTCTTGGGGTCTGTTGAGAGGCCGTTCGGGGGCGCCTGGGAGACATGTTTGAAGCCTTCTGGGGCTTCTTTTGGGCCTCCTGGGAGTCTCCTGGGGCCTCTTGGCGACATCTTGGGGCCTCTTGGAGGCCTCTTGGGGCCTCTTTGGGACCTCCTGGGCGCCTTCTGGGACGGAGGGCTCCATTTTTGAGTTCTCGGTATCCCTCCTGAGTCCCTCTTGGGCCCGTCTTGGGGCCTCTTGGTCCGTCTTGGGCGGCACTTGGGCCGTCTTGAGGGCTCTCTTGGGTCGTTTCGGCGCCGTCTTGGGAGCTTCGTGGGCCGTCTTGGAGCGGTCTTGGGGGCCTCTTGGGCCGTCTTGGAGCGTCCGGAAGCCGAAAAAGCCAGAACACAAAAAACATCGAAAAAACCAATGAAAATCAACGATTTTGGCCTCTTGGGGCTCTCTTCGGAGGCCTCTTGGAAGGCTCTTGGGGCGTCTTGGAGGCCTCTTGGGCTGTCTTGGGGGCCTTTTGGGCCGTCTTGGGGTCATCTTCGGCGTCTTCGAGCGCTCTTTGGGCGTCTCGGGGGCCTCTTGGGCAGTCTTGGGGGCCTCTTGGGGCACTCTTGGCGCGCTCAGGGCGGCCTGAGAGGCCGCACCCAGAAGGAAAACCATCTCTGAGTTGAACCGGGCGGGACCTTCCCAGGCGGCGGGCGGGGTACTTTTCGCCGGGGGACCCCCAGGGGCCGCCCCGCGCGCGCGAACTAGTACAATACAATTGTTAACCAGTTACCGGAGATCTTAGCACGCCTCTGGCCCGTTGGGCCGGCGAATTTGCACGGAGGGGGTCGGGCAAGGCCCCGAAGGAGATCTGGAATCGCTCAGGCCGAAACCCACTTGCACGCTGTACCGGCCTTGCACTGCCTCGTGAGGCGGCGGAGCCAAAATCCCATGCAAGCGAACCTGCCTGAATCCAGTGACGCGCTTTCCCGAACATCGGCTCAGAATCGAGCCCCGGGCTTCCAACGTGGTCCGTCCGGCTCGGCTCTGTCGCCCCGGATCGATGTCTGAGGGCCCCAGGGCCCGACATTTGGGTGAACGTAAAGGGGGGTGGCCCAGACGGGGGGTGAATTCGGACGGCCTCGGAGGCGGCGCAGAGGAGGTCTGTAATGAAATGTGATTCAATCGTTTCGCTCACTCCGCTTGTCCATATTGCATGATCGCGCCGTGGTGGGCTAGCCGAGTTTTGGGGCCTGTTGAGGGCCGTTTTGGGGCCTCTTGGGGCCTCTTTTGGGCCCCTTGGGCGCCTCTTGGGGCGTCTTGGGGGCCTCTTGGGGGTCTCTTGGGGCCTCTTTGGGACCTCCTGGGCGGCTTCTGGGGCGGAGCGCTCGATTTTTCAGTTCTCTGTATCCCTCTTGAGCCCCTCTTGGGCCCGTCTTGGGGCCTCTTGGTCCGTCTTGGGCGGCACTTGGGCCGTCTTGGGGGCCCTCTTGGGCCGTTTCGGGGCCGTCTTGGGAGCTTCGTGGGCCGTCTTGGAGCGATCTTGGGCGCCTCTTGGGTCGTCTTGGAGCGTCCGGAAGCCGAAAAAGCCAGAACGCAAAAAACATCGGAAAAACCAATGAAAATCAACGATTTTGGCCTCTTGGGGCCCTCTTCGGAGGCCTCTTGGAAGGCTCTTGGGGCGTCTTGAAGGCCTCTTCGGCTGTCTTGGGGGTCTCTTGGGCCGTCTTGGGGTCATCTTCGGCGCCTTGGAGCGCTCTTTGAACGTCTCGGGGGCCTCTTGAGCAATCTTGGGGGCCTCTTGGGGCACTCTTGGCGCGCTCAGGGCGGCCTGAGAGGCCGCACCCAGAAGGAAAACCATCTCTGAGTTGAACCGGGCGGGACCTTGCCAGGCGGCGGGCGGGGTACTTTTCGCCGGGGGACCCCCAGGGGCCGCCCCGCGCGCGCGAACTAGTATAATATACAATTGTTAACCAGTTACCGGAGATCTTAGCACGCCTCTGGCCCGTTGGGCCGGCGAATTTGGCAACATGCTTCCTCTCCATTGATCGCCCTCCACAAATCAAGCTTCGAGGCTTCGAGGATCGAGGCTTCGAGTACCAGCGTCCAGAAGCTTCCCCTGACGGCCGCTGGGGGCTGCGGACAAAACTGCCCCCGACACGCCAAGGGTCGCGAGAAGCCTCCGGCGCAGTCTCCGCTCGAGCCGCCAGGAGGCCTGGGCGCTCTTCCCTGGGCCTCGGATCCGCGAGCACCGTCTCACCCGAGGGAGAGCAAACGCATACGGCAGGATCCTCCTCCTCCTCCTCGTCCTCCTCCTCCTCCTTCCCCTCCTCCTCCTCCCTCCACTCATTTTCCTTCTGAATAACTCCTCCCTGTCGCACCCCGAGGCCCGTCGGAAGGGTGGGCTGGGCGTTTCGCCTGAGACTTCCTCATCACGAATAAGCCTGAAGCTTAAAGACATGCAACAGTTTCACAAATGGAGGGCGGGTCGTTTTCAAAATGTGGCTCTCGCCTCAGCGCCGCGCACATTCCTTTTCAAAATAGCAAGAGCTTCACGGATTGAAGGATAGGTCGTTATCAAACTGTGGCTCCCGCCTCAGCGCCGCGCACATTCGTTCTCAAACATTGCAAGAGTTTCGCTGATTCCAATGGTGCATATTCACATTTTTTGTTTTGGAGCGATTCAGGATTGTCAGGGCACAGCAGTTACGTTGATTCGAGGTGTCACAGTCCCAGGAATTGTGTTGTGGCACTGTTCAGGATCGTCAAGACGCAATAATCAGGTTGACTCGTGGCGTTGTAATCATGAGAATGGTGTACTGGCACACGTCAAGATTTTCACACGGTTGCACCCGAACGGCGCACTTTCTTCACTGGAAATGAACCCTTGCAGGGGCCTGTGAAGAGAGAGCTTGGAGGGAGGGTGTATTCCAACATCGCTGACGAGTCTTGGGTTTACACTGGTCCTACCCCTCCTCCTCCTACTACTCCTCCTCCTTCCTCCTCCTCCTCCTCCTCCCTCCTCCTCCTCCTCTTCCTCCTAGTGACGACCCCAGCGTTGGTTTCTGACACCCCAGGGACTTGTTTAACCTGGAACCATCGGCGGCTTTCGATCGCCAGGTCGTTCTTTCAACGAGATTGCACTCAAGGGCTGTCACTGCCTTTCTAAGGTAAGCCTGAATGACGGTCCCACCAGCTCGTCGCCGACCACCGCCGCCCGTCGCCGCTGTCGCCGCTGGGCCCCAATGCCGCCCATCGCCGCCCGTCGCCGCCACTGCCGCGGGGCCCCAATGCCGCCCATCGCCGCCCGTCGCCATCCGTTGTTTTGCATTGCATTGCATTGCGTTACATTGTATGGCATGGTCTTGCATCGTATTGCATTACTTTGCATTGGTTTGCATTGCTTGGCATTGACTTGCATTGCAATCGCATGTCATTGAAATGTATTGCATTGCTTGGCATTGCTCTCGAACGCTTTGCATCGCTTGGCATTATTGTGCAGTTATTTGCGTTGCTGTGCATTGCTTTGCGTTGCTCCGCATTGCGTTACATTGCTTCGCGCCACATTGCCTCGCACCACCTAGATTGCACCACTTTCATGCACCACCTAAGTTGCAAGACATCGCTGTTTCGGGTCACCGCTGGCTAACATACTTTCTTGTCCAATGACCGATCCCATTCCCCACTGGCCTGCCCTTGGCCCCACTGGCTGACTTACCCCACTAGGTGGGGATATATGATCCAGGGTCGAGGGTTCCCGGGCCCCCCCCCCCCAGATGGTATGGTCCCAGGATTCCTCGGGCCCCCCCCCCCCAGATGGCATGGTCCCAGAGACGACGACGACGACAACGACGACGACGACGACGACGACGACGACGGCGACAACGACGACGGCGACGACTACGACGACGGCGACGACGACGACGACGGCGACGACGACGAGGACGACGACGGCTGCGGCGGCGACGATGCCGGCGGCGGCGGCGGCGACGATGACGATGACGACGATGACGACGGCGACGACGACGATGACGACGACGACGATGACGACGACGACGACGACGAGGACGACGAGGACGACGAGGACGACGACGACGACGACGACGGCGACGACGACGACGACGACGACGACGACGACGGCGACAACGACAACGACCACGACGACGACGACGACGGATGCGGCGGCGACGACGCCGGCGGCGGCGGCGGCGACGACGATGACGACGATGACGACGGCGACGACGACGATGACGACGACGATGACGACGACGACGACGACGAGGACGACGAGGACGACGAGGACGACGAGGACGACGACGACGACGACCTCTGAACCACGACAGCACCACACCACATCCACAGGGGGGGGAGGGGGGCACCGCAGCGCAGCACTTCGCCACGCCCACTTCTGAACCACCACAGCACCACACCACATCCACATGGGGGGGGGGGGGCACTGCAGCGCAGCACCACGCCACGCCCACAGGGGGGGGCGGGGGGGACCATCGCGCGGGAGGCGGGGGGGCCCAATGGCATCAGCATTGGGGGGGGCGGGGCCCAAGCCCTGGACCATATATGATCCAGGTCTGGGCCCCCCTCCCCCCCTCACGATGGGTTCCCCCCCCTGTGGATATGGTGCGGTGCTGTGGTTGTGGCGTGTGTTGCGTGGTACTGTAGAGCTTCATGAGAGCTCTGGAGGTCGAGATCGTCGTCGTCGCCGCCGCCGCCGCCATCGTCGTCATCGGTCGTCGTCGTCGCCGCCGTCGTCGTTGTCACCGCCGTCGTCGTCGTCGTCGTCGTCGACGCCGTCGTCGTCGTCGTCGTCGTCGTCGTCGCCATCGTCGTGGGACCCATCCCGTCTAGAGGGGGCGGGGTCCCGTGGGCCCTCGACCGTGGATCATATATGCTGTTCCCTTCGGGTCTCGCGGAACCTCTCCAACCGGGGGGGGGGGGGCCAATGGAGCTGAGATGCATAGATTAGACTATGCCGAGATTGTCCAACTCCCGAGCCTGGTGTCTCCACGGGCAGGCCGATGACCGAGGCGCGCTGAGGGCATCTCCATGGCGTGCAGCTGGAATCGGACTCTCCCGAGCGAGTCTAGCGCGGAGAGGGAGACGCGATCTACCTCAAACGTGTCCTCCATCCATTCCCAATCGCCCATCGGGCTGATAGATGCTTCGTAAATGACAGCATCTGGGTTCGCCATGTCCGCAACAGCAGCGAGCGCATCGTCAGCCGACAGCCCCCGGAATCGATTCCCATCCCGGCCTGCAATTTCCACCAGCGATGCAAGTTGACCGACTACGCTGGCCTCGAGGTCGCGCGGTACAGCTCCATTGGCCTCTGTCAATCGGCCGATTTGCTGCACGATCAGCTCGCTGAGCAACCTGAGCGCGTTGCTATTTTCGTCATGAGCTTCTGCTGCAGGTCTAAGCATCGATGCCAAGGCTAGGCGAGCGCGCTCCCTTGCAGGAACCGCAGCCTGAAGATCTGTAGAATTGGACGTCAATGGCTGCATCATCATTGTGCCATGGAAGGAAAAATTGTGTTTGCTCGGATACGAATCGATGTCATGCGAGCTCCATGCTGAACCAACTAGGTCCAGTGTTGGTGGCGTGTCAATGGCAGGTAGAAGCGCATCCCCCAATGCCAACGCTGGGAAGCTTGGGCGCTGACAAAGGCCCACAAAATGGGTGAACGTAGCTGTCGGAATGTACGCTTCCACATGGAAAATCACCTCGCAGCAAAACTGTCGATCTCCGCAAGAGTGTATCTGCATCAGCGGCGACAGCGTGTTTACCAAATCAAAAGATATACCTCGTGATCCTTCATTGGCAAACGCTTCCGCAAGCGTGTACTGTTTACCCTTGTATTGAACAACCAAATGAATTGAATCTGCGCATGATTCAAACTGGTTAAAAATATCTGGTGGAGCGTCGCTCCAGTCTGCATCCGCCCAACCGTCATCAGAGGCGTGGTCGTTGTCCCAATATCCCATCTGCACATCTGCCACCGCACCAACCGAAGAAGCGTGCTTTACATCAAATCTCAGCGCCTTGTGGGTCCTGTATTCGTCGGCGAGCTCATCGCCAACGCCTCCCAGGAGCAGCCGCACCTCAAAGCTCGGCTCCAGCAGGCAGAAACACATGACCTTCTCATACGCGGCAGCGAACTCCTGAGCAGAAGGCAGGCCCGCCCCGTGGGACCCCCGCGCTTCCAGGCCCATGCGGCTTCTGCCGAGGAACGTCAGGGCTCTCCATTCACCGTCGGCTTCCAAGGCACGAAGGCATCTCGCACTCGCGACACGGAATCGAAGCGCCTCGCGCACGCCCCAGCAACCCATGCATCCTGCTGCTCCTGCGTTGCAGAAGAACGGCATCCAGTCGCACCGGTCGCGAGCGGTCATCCAAGGTTCGATGTGCAGAGGATTCGCCTTCAGAACGGTCAAGGCCAGTCTCTTTGCCTCCTCCTTGCGCTCACACTCTTTCTGGAAGTCGAGGAACCACTGCATGAACGAAACCCCGTGTGAGATTTGAAACCAAGCTGCAGAGCCAGTGCCGACGAAACGCCCTCCTCCTCCCAAGATGCCACTGGGACGGGGCGCACGATTCTGGAGCCAAAACCTGAGCCAAGAAAACTATGGACCAACAGCACGGAGCGTCCGAACACCACTCTGATGAGGGCGGGTGCACTTGCCCGTAGCCGCGGGCCACCCAGCAGACGTGCTCGATACTTCCACTGCAACTTGGAGGTGAAGAACCTGATGAGCCATGCACTCCGCTTCCATTCCATCTACTCCATGTGCAAGACTGATGGCCCAAGAGGAGGTGGAGGAGGGAGCAGCAGGAGGGGGGGGAAGCACTCTTACTTCTTTCTCCGGCTGGAGAGCGATCCCCTGACGCCCCCTTGCACCTGCATTGGATGCTCATGCCAACACCGCAAATATCCTGCTGCCCGTCGCCGTCCTTGGTACCTGGAGGCATCCGACGCCTCGATGTGGTGATCGTGGCGACGCGCAGTGGAATCGCTGACCCCACTCCTCTTCTGCTTCCCCTCCCCCTCCACCGATCCTCCCCTTTCCCTTCCTCCCTCTTCCCCTCACAATCCGAAGTAGCGAGCTTTTCGATCTCCTCCCTGCCTCCTCTCTTCGTTGATGAAGTGGCCCCCCACCTCTCGACCTCTTCCCCGGGGGGCCGGTTTCTCATCCCGAGTTGTTGTTTCTGATGGTCTTGGGGCCCGAACCAGCCCTCCAGAAGCCGAAACTTAGGAACAGGCTGTCGTCACCATGCTCTCTCGACGAAGGATCTGAAGGTGCTCCTCGCTCCTCCTCCCCCTCCCACGAGCCATCCCCCCCGAACATTTGTCTGACCTGCCCCCATCCTCCTCACCTTCCAGTGCTCCCGTCTCCCCCCCTACCCCCTCTCCCTCCTGCTCCACTTCTTTCCTGCTCCCCTACTTCGCCCAGCTCCCTCTCTCCTTCATCCTTCCTCCGTGCCCCCCTCCTCGATCACTGCAACAAATCTTGCCAAAAGAGAGATGAAGAGGGCTGGCCGGAGGATGAGGAACAACCAACGCCCCGCTCAATGGATTCCCCGAAATGGCATCGTAGAGTCCCCTCCTCTTCCTCCTCCCCCCCATGCGACTACTACTTCCGACACTCCCACCCAGCCACGATGCAATACAAACACCACCACCAACAACACTCATTGTATGACTGCTCGCTCTTACCTGATCGCGTACCAATCAACACGTATAACTATCCCAAACTCTCGGTACCCTCCCTATCCGTCTTCGATCGTACCCCCGTGTGGGTATATCTTCCTTACCTGCAGCGCGTAAGTTGTGCAGCCCCTGAAACAAGGGAAGAGCAAACGATTAGAAAAGGGAGGGAGAAGGATGGAACACTGAAGTAGCAGGAGGGGGCTAGGACCAGAAAACACGTGGCAGAACCAAACGGCCCATCGGACGGGTAGACCCAAACGGGCGGTTTGGGAAGGCAGGCCCAAGCGGCCAGGTCGAGAAGGCGTGTTGCTGGAGCGTGCAAATTGCATGAATCGCGAAGAAAGCTCAAGCGATAGCACGATTCCAAATTAAATCGTGAAGGCCAAAGCGAGAGGGTGACTCCTGAATGTCGAAGTCGGGGGCTGAATACATCAGAGGAAGTCCCACGCGAGAGCGCGGCTTGGGAACAAATGGAAGAAATCTCAGGCGGGAGCTGTTGCTGTTGTTGTTGTTGCTGTTGTTGTGTTGTTGTTGTTGCTGCTGCTGCTGCTGTTGTTGTTGTTGTTATTGTTGTTGTTGTTGTTGTTGTTGTTGTCGTTATTGTTGTTGTTGTTACTCGGGGGGCAGTAGCGCAGTTTGATGGCACCAAGTGTTCCCCGATAAAAGAAAAGCAGGGGCGAGCCCTGAGAGGGGGCCCTTCACTGGAAAACGCACAATGGTTACCGGAAAAGCCAACAACACTTCTACCCTTCAAAAGGGCAAGCTCAACAACAAAAAAAAACAGCAGTACCCCAAAGCGCCGCAGACCCCGACTGCGGACCCGTGCCCACGGGTCGCAGTCCAGGTTTGCGCCGTACGGCGCAAGCCCGGAGTGCGGCCCCGTCACGCCCCCCCCCACCCCGCGACACGACGCGACGCGACGCACCTCTCTGCCGTGATAGCCTCTTGTGCTCTCAGCGCTACTGCTGGTATCGCTGAGGATTCCTACCCAAACAGCAGGGGTGCCAGCAGGGAGTCCTGCATCAGGGAGCCTTCCTCTGGAATCATGCCGAAAGAGCCCTTACTAAGGCATCCTCGCAATGGCATCGTTCAAAAACGCCCTACAAGGAATCCTGATATTGGACCTCTTGGTAAAGAATCACAACTAAGAAATCCGTACTAAGAACACCTTCGCTGAGGAGCCTCACCATGCACTCCGTGGTAAGGAACTCTTACCAATGAACCCTTCCGATCGACTCCTTACAAAAGGCGTCCTTGATGAATGAAGACTTGATCGGGAAACCTTACAATGAAACCATGTACTAAATAATCGGCGACACGAATCCGGAATAATAAATTCGTGCAATGGACGCTTTGCTTAAATAGACTCCTCAATAAGGAGCCCCCAACAAAGAGTCCGTACATAGGAATAGGAATCCTGACCAAGGCATCCTCGCAATGGAATCGTTACAAAGACTCCTGAAAACGCAACAATTACAATGGACCCCATTGAACAAATAATACTCAACAAAGAAACCTTAGAACGGACTCTTTGATACGGAATCCTACAGAAGAAGTCCTTACAATGGACTCCACACCGTAGAACCCTTTTGTTCAGGAGCCTTTTTGTTCAACGCACTCCTTAATAAAGAACCCTTCTAAAACTAATCCCTGACTGGCATCCTCGCAGTCCTCACAGTGGAAACCATATGGGGAATCAATGAACTCTTAACATGGACTCCTCATTGAGGAATCCTGAAAAGACTAATTGAGTGGGAGTCCTTACGCTGGAAGCTCCACTAACGAATACCAGACAATGCGTACAATGGATTCCTTACTACGGAGTCCTTAACGAGGAATCCGTGCAACATATCCCTTACAAAAGGCATCAAACATGATGAATCCTTACAGTGGGCTCTACTAAAACAACCTTGATAACTAATACTTACAACAAAAACAAGCCCTTCCTAAAGCATCTTCGCACTGAATTCCCGCATGGAAGATCAGTGCATATCAAAAGCCGTTTCAAGGAACTCCTCGATGAGAACGGACTCCGTCCATAATGTGGAGGCGCTTACCATGGTCTCAAGAATGGGAACTCCTTATCAAGGACTAGTCGTACGGAATCCTTACAACACAATCCTCAATCTGACCCGCCCAGGGAAGGACTCCTGACAACGAAATTCCATAAGGAACTTCCGATGCAGATTTCGGACCAAAAAAACAACACGACAAGCCCCGCCACGTATCCCACTGAAGGCATTACGGCAGATCCTACCAACGAAATCCCCACTGATCCCACGACCGATCCACATGTCACAATCTACAACCTGGGCTGCGCGCCGCTGCGCATTACTCAGCTGGCCGCACAACGCCACAGGCACAGCTAGACCCGACATCATCAACAAGGCCCTCGAGACCCCCCGAAAACGCGCAGCGAGGGTCGCAAGCGGACCCGGGACACCCCGACGAGGGGGCCCCAAAAGGCCGCCGAGACGCTCACAAGATACCCCCAATACGCCCCAACCGGCCGCCCAAAGGCGCCCAGGACGCTGCCAGGGGCCCCCTGGCTGCTAAGCCCCCAAACCGCCGCAAGCGGACCCCGAGGGGCCGGGCATCCAAAAGGCCGATGGCCTCTCTGATCGCCTTATCCTCCTCCTCGTCTCCTCCTCCTCATCCTCCTCCTCTTCCTGCCACTCCTCCTGTGGCCCCTCCTCCTCATCTTTCCCTCCCTCTACTCCTCTTCTTCCTATTACTCCATTTCGTCTCCCTCCTTCTCTTCGCCCCCCCACCCACCGCCCCCTCCTCCTCTTCATCCGCCTATGCGTCCTCCTCGCTCGTGTCCCCCCATTCCTCCTTCTCGTCCTCCTGCTCCTCCTCCTCCTCCGATTCCCTCCTCCGCCCCCCCCCCGCCTCTGCGGGCATGACTCTCTGGCCATCTACCACATTGCAGGACCCCCCGCGTCCGTGACAACGGAAAGTCGCCAGGGCGTCGTTTTTCTGGAGGGGATGGTGCGGTCATAAAAAACGACTGCAAGTCACGAAGGCGCCCCGAGGTATCAAAATGACTCCACGCTCCCCGGATGGGGAAGCTCCCCGCGGCATCGTCCCTGGGCAGGGCGGCGGGGATGCGCGAGGCATTATTCCTTTTTCCCCTGAAGGGCAGAGCGGTCGACGCGCCCAATCCCAAAACTGCGCGGCCATCCCGAACCCCCACTTCTGGCCATCGCTCGGACGTCCACTCCCTGTGCTTTGTTGGTTTCGTGCTTGTTTTTTTTCGCCGAATGATCGAGGATGCTCCTCGATAGTCCTCGCCGACGGAAACAATGCACACGTCCGAGCGATGCCAAGACTTACTCACCAGTCCGGCCCTCCTCCGAGTGTGCGGCTCCTGGGCCGCAGCTCGGGTCCCTGGCGGCCGCTCGGGACGATCTGGGCCCCCCCGTGGAACGCCCCCGGCGAGGCGCAGCTCCTGGAACGCAACCCCACTCAGGAAGACCCGCAGGACACACGCCCGAACAACCCGACTCCTCACGCGGTCGCCTCGAATCCCATCGACTCCACAGAGTGGTCGCACCGTCCTGGGGCCCCAACGGGCGCGCGAGCGCGCGCGATGGGCGGGCGCGTCCTCGGACTCCCGCAGCCGCTCCCCGAGGAGGGCCAGCGGGGTCGCCTGCGGTGGCGCCTGCGGGAGGGCGCTCTGGGGGCGGACGGCAGCCCGATGGGCCAATTGTCCACCATCGCCACGGCAAGTTAGGACGGGGGAGAAGGGGGGATGGGGAGGTCATCCTCCTTCTCTCGACCAGGCTGCGCGGCGCCACACCTGGAGCGTCAGAAGGTCCTCCTCCTGCTCCTCCTTTTCTTGAACAGGCTGCGAGGCGCCACGCCTGGAGCGTGAGCCTCCTCCTCCTCCTCCTCCTCCTCCTCCTCCTCCTCCTCCTCCTCCTCCTCCTCCCCCTCCTCCTCCTCCTCCCCCTCCTCCTCCCCCCTCTCCTACCTGTGGCAACTGTTGTGGACAGTCGGCCTATCACGGCCCGAGCCGTGGGGCCGGTCGCGGTCCAAAGTGCCCCGAGAGGTCGGCGGCCCCAGCCGACCCGAGCGCTGCACGCAGCATGTGCCGCTGCGGCCCGCCGTCCGCGCGCGCGCGCGCCCAGGCAGCGAGGGGACAGCGGCGGTCCTCCGTCCTCCTCCGTCCTCCGTCCTCCGTCCTCCTCCTCCTCCTCCTCCTCCTCCTCCTCCTCCTCCTCCTCCTCCTCTTGGTTCTCCTCCCGCTCATCCTGCTCCTGCTCATTCTGCCGGTGCTCTCCATTCCTTGTCCTGATAAACAACGCCTCCCTGTCGCACCCAGAGGCCAGTCGGAAGGTCGGGCTGGGCGTTGCACTTGAGACTTCTCCACCATGTGTGATCATAAAGCTTCAAAGTTGGCAACAGTTGCGCGGATGGAGGGCTGGCTGCTTCCAAAAGGTAGCTCTCGCCCTAGCGCCGCGCACATTCGTCTTTAACAGTTGCAGGAACTTCATGGGTTGAGGGCGGGTCGTTTCAAACATGTCGCTCTCGCCTTAGCGCCGCGCACGTCCCTTGTGAACAATTGCATGGGCTTCACAGGTTGAGGGTGGCTCCTTTTCAACTTGTGGCTCTCGCCTTAGCGCCGCGCACATTCGTCTTAAGGAATTGTAGGATTTCCACTGATCCCATGGCCAGCGCACCAGAATATGTGCCTTGGAAGATTCAGAACTGCCAGGGCGCAACAGTTATATTGATTCGCGGCCTCGAAGTCCCAGGGAATGGCGTTCTGGCACTATTCGGGATGGTCAAGACGCAACAATCCAGTTGATTCCTGGCGTTAATGTTCCTAGAATGTTTTTTTGGCACGATTCAGGATCTTCGTTCTCCCAGCAGGGCACTTCTCTCAGTGGAAATGAACCCTTGTATGGGGCCTATGACGAGGGAGCAAAGAGAAGGTTGATTCTAACATCGATGATTATGATTAGTCTTGGGTTTACAATGGTTCGATTCCTCCTTATCCCCACCTCATAGGTGCCAGCTCCTTTTTAATGCTGGGCTCTCGCTTGAAGATTCCCCGAAGATGGCCAGATTTGCAGCCTTCTGCAACAATTATGCAGATGGGCGTGGGCTAACCTGGCTCGGCGCAAACCCGGCTCAGCCACCTTTAGAAAAGCTTCGCTGCATTTCCCGTGTGGTGGCCGACAAAAAAACCCAGCTCAACCAACTTGCAAGGCCAGCTCATGGGACGCGGCACGCTCCAAAACCCGACTCGGCCAAATCTCCAGCCTTGCAAGATCCTGCAGGATCCGGCGCACTCCGTTTGCGCTGAACCCCCGTTACGTGCGCCCCGACTCCTTGGATGCTTCCTCGAAGTGCATGGCCAGACTTGCAGACTCCGCAGAACACTTACACACATGGGGCGGTCCTTTGTGCAAGATGCACTGCAGTTCCTCTTCAACACGGGACTTGCAGCGACTTACGAGGTACCCCCCTTTACTTTGGGGTCCCGAAGCGGTGCGGTGACAGACCGTGCGGTGACCTCGAAATCCCCCAAGACCTCACCGCACGGTCCGTCACCGCACGGTCTTGGGACCCCGGAGGCCCCTGTCGCCCGAGACGTCCTCGGAGAACGACCCGAGTCCCAAGACCGTGCGGTGACCCCGAATCCCCACTGACTCCCGTCCTCCCTCCTCCCTCCTCCTCCCTCCTCCCTCCTCCTCCTCTCCTCCCTCCTCCTCCTCCTCCTCCTCCTCCTCCTCCTCCTCCTCCTCCTCCTCCTCCTCCTCCCCCTCCTGTCCAAATCCATCCGTCCGGCCTGCCACCGCTGCTGTGCCAGCAGCGAGCTCCCGAGCGGGCTTCGGAGAGCGGGCCCGCGGCTCGGCGGCCCGCGGCCAGGGCGGGCAGGACGGCACCACACGCGCTCGCCGGAGAGCCTCGTCGAAGACTGAAGTCGGGCCTGTCCCTCTACAGCAGGAATATGATGGGGACTATTTTTGGGCTATTCTTAAGCCTTCGGGGGGTATCTTTCAGTATTGTAATTTTTCGCCCCCAATCCGCCTGTAGGGGGGACAGGCCCGACCTAATCGAAGACAGGGGCGATCGGATTTCTCCTGGGCTCTGCGCTGTTGCCGCCGCCGAGGACCCGACTGAGGACCCGACTGGCTCCCCGCGTGCGTTTAGCCCAGCCCCCCCTTGCACGACGGCAGCGAAGAAAACGCGTTCGGCATCCCGGCCGACGCCGTCACCGCCGCCAACGTCGTCGTGCTCGTCTGGGTCGTCGTGCTCGCTTGGGTCGTCGTGCTCGTCTGGGTCGTCTGGCTCGTCTTCGCCGTGGTCGTCGCGCTCGCTTGGGCTCCCTGATCGTCGTCGTCGTGGTCGTCGTCGTCGCCGACGTCGTCGTAGATGGCGTCGTCGTCGCCGACGTCTTCTGAGATGGCGTCGTCGACGTCGACGTCGACTTCGCCGACGGCCGCCAAGACGTGGCCGCGCCTCCTCTGGCGGCGCCGCCGGCTGCTCCCGCGGGGGCGCCGTGCTCCGGAGGCGCGCGACCTCCTGCGCGAGCGAGGCGATCTCCTCGCGGAGGAGGGCGAGCGGCGACGAGGCCAGGAGGCGGGGGGGCGGGGCGGATGAAGGATCGATGAGTTGGGGGGGGCGCTTTTTGAGGGGGCCTCTGGGGTGGTCTCTTCGCTGCGGCTGTTCCCCAACCTTTTCTCGGGCGTTGGCAGAACTGGGTTTAGTGGAACCTGGTTTATTGATCTGTACCGGGGGCGCCCCCCCGTACTGTTTTCACTAGCCGGAACTGCCGTCGACCGAAAAAACACCAGCTATGGCAAACCTGGTTTAGTGATTCTGGCCAATTCGAAGGCTCCGGGGCCCTGCCACTGACCGGGTCCCCTTAATACCCGGGGTCCTGGCCATGCCCCGATCCTCGTCGTCCCAGACCCTCGTGCTCCTTCTCCCCCCACCTCCCCCTCCCCCTCCACCTCCCCCTCCCCACCCCCCCACCTCCCCCTCGTGCTCCCCCCCCCCCCCCCACCTCCCCCTCCCCCTCCGCATCCCCCGTCTCTGCCACGCCACTCCTTCCGACCCGTCCTCGGCGCTCCCCCGCCGCCCCCTCCGCCTCCCCCGCGCGCGCAGGGGGGGCCGGGGGGGCGGACGGGGGAGGAGGTCCCGCGAGGCCCCCTCAAGGCCCCTCGAGGAACAAGACAGCCTTCGAACCGAGAAGGGGAGGAGGAGGAGGAGGAGGAGGAGGAGGAGGAGGAGGAGGAGGCTGGACTAGGAGGCAGGAGGAGGCGCAGGAGGCAGAAGGAGGATTTGGACACCCGACATGGGTATCATGCCCAACAGCACGTGTTGTCCGCTGTCCAACACCAGCAGCGGCCGCTGTTGGGCAGGCGGCCTTCTGTCTCAGATGCACAACGTCCGCGGCGGCGAGGACAGCGAGCCTGGTTCAAAATGAACAAGAACTGCTGTTTGGTATCGTACCTGAGGGGCAACGATAGGGAGGTATAGGCGTAGGGGAGGATGCATCGACCCAGAATCGGCGATACATCGTCGAGGGATCGGCGATAGTCCCTCGATCGTGAATCCGCACCCTCTTGGGCGGGGTGTGGGGATACCAGGTCCCTGTCGGCAGTCAATGGGCGACTGGCGGTCGATGCATCCCCCCCTTTGCTGATCCCCCCCTATCGCTGCCCCTGAACGTTGCCCCTGAACTGCGTTCGCGCCGAGAGGACGACGACGCCCCCGAGGCCCCAGAGCTGCGCGATGTCCTCGCGGAGCTGCTTCTCCACCTCCGCTGCCTGGTCCTTCAGGCGCGCCGCCTCTTCCCGCGGCGGGCGACGGAGAGAGACGGGGGCGAGGTGCCGTCTCCTCCTGCCCCACTTCCGCCCTCCTCCTCCCTCCTCCTCCCTCCTCCCCCCTCCCTCCCCCTCCTCCCCCCTTCCTCCGCCCTCCTCCCTCCTCCATGGCTCCCTCTCTCCTTCCCCCACTCCCTCGCTTCTTTCACGGCCTCCTCTCCGGCAGGGAAGCGGACGGGGGAGGAGGGCGCAGATGGGGTGGAGGAGGAGGAGGAGGAGGAGGAGGAGGAGGAGGAGCGAGGGAGGAGGGGCGAGGGCGTGGGGGGAGCAAAAGGGAGGAGAGGGGGTGACATACAAAGGGAAATATAAAAGGACTGGAAGAGGGGGTGGACTTCCTGGGCCCCAGAAGCGGCAGGGCATGTTTTCTATCGTTTCCGAGCGAAGCAATGCCTCTTGAAGATGGAAGCGTTACAAGAAACGGCCACCAGAAACGGCAAAAAACGGCTCCGGAATCGGAGCTGGAACCGGCAAGAAACAGCGGCGGAAACAACAAACACGGCGCTGGATCTGGCAACGAAAACGGCGAAACGGAACCGGCAACAAAAGACAATTGTCCCGCCGTTTCCAGGGCCCACTGATGGGGGGTGACGCAGAGAGGGTCTACAGGGGGGAGGGGACGGAGGGAGAGCAAGGGCGAGTGGTGCACGGACCCAAACTGCCTACCGACCAGACCACCCCGACCTAACCCGAAGACCCGAATTTCGGGCTCGGGGGGGTGCGGGTTCCCCACGTGCTTTCCTATGTTCCCCGACACCCCCCACTGGGAGTGGAGGGCAAATCGGGGCCTTCGAGCTGGGTCGGGGCGGTTGGGTGGGCGGGGTGACGAGCGTCCAGCCGCGACGAGGCCCACGGGGAGAGAGAGAGAGAGAGAGACCCCGCTCGCCCGTGGGCGAGCCACACCAAAGCCTCTCAAAGGGCGCGGCCCCCGGCAGCAGGAGCAGCGGCCGCGGTGAAGAGCAGGCGGGAGGCCCGTTCTCACCCCCCGCCGCCTTGGCCCTGCCACGACCTCTCCAGGGGCGCGGGCGGCCCCCTGCAGAGGGAGCAGCGGCCGCGGTGAGGGCAGAGGGCACACGGGAGGCCCCCGCCCGCCCCCCGTCGCCTCGGCCTCGGGACGAGCCGATGATCCCGGACACGAAAGCTCGTCGTCGAGCTGAGCCTGCGGGTGCCTCCAGACCAGGGCGGATCCATAGGACTTGTCGGACGGCCTGGACTCCGCCGGCCCACGCCTCGGCAACGGCGCATACGTCTCGAGCGACTTCCACGCACCCGCTGCCCAGGACTTCCGCCCAGGCGGGGCGGCTGAGTTGCCGGTGCACACAGGCCCCACCGCATCCCCGAAGGTCTGGTGCCAGAGCATGCGCTCCGCGTGGCAAATGCCAGCGCTCACGGTGATCACGGACAGTTCCAACCTCTCGCCGTTAGACGCGGAGGACATGCCAGCAGGAGAAGTGCTGGATTCCAATTTCGTGTAACACGGCGTGCTGGAACTGATGCCAGCACTCGGTGTGATGACCTTCGCTCCCATCTTCTCACGGGTCAGTCTTGCCCTGCAAGCTATTGGGTTCGGCCCCGCTCGCGGCGAACGCTCCGAATCCTGGGGCGACGCTGGACGTTTACGCGTCCGCTGGCACCTCGTCGGATATTTCCTGCAGCTGGACGCCCTCCTCGGCCGCGTCTTCCAATTTGCTTTCTGCGATGGCATTCTCGATGTCCCTGACCTTGATGGTCGTGACGCCCTGCTTGCTCGTGCCCTCTCAAGCGCCCATGTTGATAGTGAATTCTGCGCGCCAGCGGGCAGATCCTCGGATGCCGCCTGCACCTGGCCGTCCTCCTCTGTGGCCTAATCCAACCTGCTCACGGCGCCGTCCACCTCGCTGTCTACCGCTAAACTACCTCGAACCATTCAGCCCTTCCTCCTCTTTCAAGACCCCTTCTGGCCGCTGCCACGGGCATGCTCCGCGGGGGTCCGTCACCTGCAGTCCCTCCGCAATAATGAAAGGGGACAGTCAGGGGGGGAACCTGCTCAGGCGGGGAACGTCGACTTTGGATCAGCGATGCATCGCCGATGGATCGGCGATAGGCCTCGGATAGCGAATCAACACGATCCGTGGAGCGGTGGGCTATCGGGCACATGCCCGCAATTCATGGGCAAGGCGTAAATGCCCCCCCCGAGCCGATCCCCTTATGAATTGATCAAAGGTTCCGAAAACTTTAACGATGAAAAATATTTGTCGATGAAAAATGATAAGAAAACCACTTGAACATCTTTTCACACCGCACGCGTACTAGCTCAAGGGCCCTTGGTACAGCCCAGGCAAAATTATCAGAGGAGACAAGTCCCTTTCAAGGTGCCCTGCACTTGCGTAGGCACCTGCTACTGCTACATTGCGCTTCATGTACAGCGTATACCTGACACCCTTCAGAGTAAACCCGCCACCGCGCCCTCTGGCACGTTGAGGCGTGCTAGAATGCCAAGTGCTGTCTGGTAGGATTTCTAGAATCTTCTGAAAGGACCCCCCTCTCCCAGCCAGATGTCCCCGCGCGCACCGGCCACACTCCCGGGGGGTCTCCCTGGGCGGCCATGGCCCCCCCCAGGGGCTCTCCAAGGCTTCCATGACGGTCCAGGAGGCCCCCAAGACGGTCCAAGACGGCCCCGGGTCGCCGAACGATCGCTCGAACACGCTCAAGATGAACGCAAAATGCCGCGAGGGGCTTCCAATGCGCCCCCAGAGCCCTCCAAGAGGTCCCCCACAGACAGAAATCATAGATTTTCCTTGCGTGGTTGAAGAATTTGGACATTCTCGCGTGTGCGGCATTCCGATGGCCCGAGTCGGCCCAAGAGGCCCCCCAAACCACTCCCAAACGGCCCAACAAGCCTCCAGGAAGGCCCTAAAACGGCACATTAACGCCCCATGACGGCCCAAGGGGCACCCAAACCGGTCCAAGAGAGCTCCAAGACGGCCCTAAAAGGGGCCCCAAAGGAGGGAACACGAACCGGAAATCACAGGGGCCCCCAGGGGGCTCCAAAATGCGCCACACAGGACCCAAGAGGCCCCCAAGACGACCCCAAGAGGCTCCCAATATGCCCCAAGAGTCCCCCAACTGGCCCCCATTCGAGGCCCCGAGACGGCGCCCAAAATGCACCAAAACGGCCTCCAAGGGGCCCCTGATGGGCTTTCCACGAGCTCCAAACGAATATCCGCTAGGCCCATAACATAAAACCCAGGCACGGTGGCGAGATTTGCCCTAGGTACCTGGGCATGGTTTAACTAACCTCGCACACTGTACGAAGAGACGCAAAATGAGTGAGTCAATGAAGTAAACATGCAGCAACGCACGCTATGAAACGTGAAAAAACCTAGCTGGCTGGACCTGCGTGGACAAGTCGCATGCGGGTGCGTGGCTGCATTTTCTCATTCGTCGTCTCGTCCACCCAGGCGAATTCCTGCGCGGCGTGCGCGAGACGCCACTGGTCGCCGCTGAGCTGGAAGGTGCGCGTACTCTTCGCCCTAACAGTCCTCACCAATGGATCCCCGCTGAACCGACTGCCGTGCTGTCGTGCATGGTGTCCTGGTTGTGTTGGTCTGGCTTGTCGCTCGTCTTCTGATTTTAGCTCGTCGCATTGACTTTCTTGTTGATATCGTCCTCGTCGTCTTTCTCCACGTTCAGAGCAGCATCCAGCTTGATCTGCATGAGCTCCACGTCGTACCTCGAGTAGTGGATTCTGTAAATATTCGGCCACGCCGCGGCCCCACGCAGCATCATAGCGACAATGGCAAACCGGTGCGCGAAACTCTCGGTCTTGCTCCCCTTGCCAACGTCGGCGGCTGTCCGGCAGCAACGCGTTGCGCGTGCTGTCGGCTGCATCGTGCGGTGATCCCATCGCTCTCGGAGCTGATGATGTAGCTGCCCGCGCCTGATCGATCCTCTCCTGTCGCTCCTCCTTGGCCGTCTTCTTGGCTGCCGCGTAGGTCGGGCCGCGCGCCGGCTTGGAGCGCCCGCGCCATGGCCGATCCGAAAAAAGCGCCGCGCTGCCCACCCGCGCGCTGCCCGTCGGATAATACCCATCCCCATGCAGCGATGGCCCCCATCCCGTCCGCGCGCGCGGCGCGGGGGCCTCGATGGCGGGCCCTGGTCCCGAGAGCAAATGACGTTTTCCTTCTTGGCTGCGTCGTAGAGGGCCATCGTGTCCATCGTCCAAGCTGTCTTTCCATCCTAGCGGATGCCCTCGTCATTCGCGATGTCCACGTCTGGGTCGATCAGGGCCGCAGAGAACCGCTCGACGAACTCTAGGGCGTCGGCGCCTGCCGCATGTGACTCCGCACGTAGAGGAGATTTCGCCGCGCAGTAGTTCGAGCGACGCCCAGCCGACCGCCGCCGAGATGGACTCGCGCCCTCGCAGAAACTGCTCGCGGCGAGCTAGGATGACGCAACCTCCTCGGCTAGATCCTTCCCATCGAAATCCCTGGGCTGCGCCCGCCATGACCCCGAATGCGACGTCGCTTATCTGACGGGCCGCGCGCATCTCGAGTCGGGTGTCCGCGTGCTGCATATAGAACCGCAAAATCTTTTTGCGCCCCTTTGATGTGGCTGCCGTCGCAAGGTGGCTGGCCTCGTCGAGTACTGACCGATGCCCAGATGTGTGGGCACGACTCTTAGCTGGGCTATAAACGTGCTCCGAGTAGGCGTCGTAACTGACGCTTCTCCTGCAAGTTGACCCCTTCCCTGGTCGTCGCCGTTCTTTTTGACGACCGAGGGTGATCAGCGTGAGATGATTGGCGTAGGTAGCCATCCCAGCTTCAATCTCGCCGCCGTCTGCGGTCTTGCATGGGTGTCTTCTGCATCTTGTCGTCCTCGACCCACGTCCTGCACTTCAGCTTCAGCTTGGCCTTCTTGACTTTCCCGTCGCAATTGCATCCGGATTTCTGGTTTTCACTTTCGAGCGCGTCGTCTACGCGCACCGG